ATATATAGTTTGGGTTTTTTTGCAGTAGTATTTTTTCTGAAAATGTGACCTAATAGGAACACTCCAGCCAAATTTCATGTTAACACAATTTGCTCTGTTGATTTTGAGCAAAAGCACACAACAGAGTTAATCTTGAAAAATGGCAGCCATGTTTTTTTTTTTTTTTTTTTAAACGCAACAGCGCTTTTATCGAAAATGTGACCAATGAAAAACATGACTGCCAATTTTCTTGTTTATATCACACTTAATATTTTATTCAAAGAAAACCTCGCAGCAAAGGCATTTTGGAAGCCATCTTGAAAAATGGCCACCATATTGGATTTTTTGCCTACAAATAGGTGATTACATGGCCAGTAGTTCTCCACCAACATCACCAGCCTTGCTGCATGCATATTGGTTTTTGCCTAGTGACAGAATGAACTGTGTGTACACCAGTGCACACAACTCCTCTAGTCTGTGGAGCAGCTTCAGTTGATTACAGTTGGTCTGTTGCAACTCTTATACCTTTACTGTGACTGGACTGCTGTGGGTTACTGTCTTGGGCTTCATTGGCTACATTGCATTGTCTACAGAAACTGCCAATAAAAATATTGTGAATAGTATACGTCTTCAAGTCAGGTTTGTTGTAAGCCTTAAGTGTACCCAAGCAAGATTTGAACATTGTTTCTTTGTTCATGTTAAAATAGCTTTTTACCACATTTAGAGTGCATGTGTCTCCACGCACACACACACACACACACCCCGTGCACATTTATTATTTAATCTTTATGATAATGACTTTTCCCCGTTTACTATCCCAACTTCCGACACGCCCTGCCACAAAAACGCTTGTAAAAGTGAAAAAGCGTTTCTTCTTTTGTTTGTTTCTTTTGACACAGCACATTCTGAACATCAGATTGTGGCTTAAGCGACCACGGAAGGCAACTGAGCCAGCCGCAAACCTTGCGTGCTCAGCACGAAGACCTCCGCCAAGCATGGAAACGTGTCGCTTATGACTGACTTTGGTTGACAGCTGAGCTGAACTGCACACGCATTTATTGTTTGGGGTTTTTTGCAGTATTATTTTTTCTGAAAATGTGACCTAATAGGAACACTCAAGCCAAATTTCATGTTAACACAATTTGCTCTGTTGATTTTGAGCAAAACACACAACAGTTAATCTTGAAAAATGGCAGCCATGTTATTATTTTTTTTAAACGCAACAGCGCTTTTCTCGAAAATGTGACCAATGAAAAACACTACTGCCAATTTTCTTGTTTATATCACACTTCATATTTTTTTCAAAGAAAACCTCGCAGCAAAGGCATTTTGGTAGCCATCTGTAAAAATGGCCACCATATTGGATTTTTTTGCCTACAAACAGATGATTACATGGCCAGTAGTTCTCCACCAACATCACCAGCCTTGCTGCATGCATATTGATTTTTGCCTAGTGACGGAATGAACTGTGTGTACACCAGTGCACACAACTCCTCTAGTCTGTGGAGCGGCTTCAGTTGATTACAGTTGGTCTGTTGCAACTCTTATACCTTTACTGTGACTGGACTGCTGTGGGTTACTGTCTTGGGCTTCATTGGCTACATTGCATTGTCTACAGAAACTGCCAATAAAAATATCGTGAATAGTATACATCTTCAAGTCAGGTTTGTTGTAAGCCTTAAGTGTGCCCAAGCATGATTAGAACATTGTTTTTTTGTTCATGTTAACATAGCTTATTACCACATTTAGAGTGCATGTGTCTCCACGCACACACACACACTGTCTTTCTCAGATATAAAGTGACTGGTACCACTTTATAACAACAACGATAGTTGTAATGCATTAGCGAAAGATGAAGAAGAATCTGTGCTTGATGGTTGCGCCTTCTCGGCAGCACGTGTGTACCAGCACTGATTTTGATAGGGGGGGAATGTCTGCGCTATTTGACCGTCGCCGCGCAACAGCACCCGAACACTTGTGTTTTTTGCGCCTGTAATGAGCAGCATTTTTCCCTGCCCCGTTTTGTTCACCGGAGATGTCGGCACTGTTGGAGAGTCTGCGTTGGTGCGGCTAGATGGATGGCTGCTGGAGCTGAGGATGAGGAGAGAGGAGCGTCGGCGTGGAGCGCGGAGTACGTATTTGGACCTGAGAGTCGGCGCTTGGAATTGAAGCGGATTTACATGGCACAGGAGACGTGAATCAATCTCTTATTTTAATCAGTGGACGTTACAGCTTCTTGTTGACTTTCAAATTTAGCTGATAGCAGACGTGTGGGACATCATGCTTAAGCATGATGTTTCTGATCCACTGTTGAAACACTGTTGACACTTTGATTTTCTGTTCTTTCATCTATAACTGCTTCAACCAACAAGGCGTATACAAGAATAGTGGTTACGATTGCTGCTTGGAATTGAAGCGGATTTACATAGGACAGGAGACGTGAATCAATCTCTTATTTTCATCAGTGGACGTTACATCTTCTTGTTTACTTTCAAATTTAGCTGATAGCAGACGTGTGGGACATCATGCTTAAGCATGATGTCTCTGATCCACTGTTGAAAGGACACTTTGATTTGCTGCTCTTTCATCAAGAACTGCTTCAACCAACAAGGCATATACAAGAATAGTGGTTACGATTGCATGACTGTCCTTGTCTTATCGGATGTGTTGTGTTATATTATTTTGTTTCATGTATTATTTTATTTGATCGGTTGTACTGTGAGGTTGCTGGGTTGAGAATTACTCCTGCAACTGTAACTTTTAGACCAGAGTGACTGTAGTCTGTATTTGTAATCCAAAACATTTTCAAGTTTGTTATGACAAATCATGGAAACTTCTTGCAACCTGCTCACATCCTCATCATTATTCACCTCATAAATTGATTCACTGAAATTAACTAGCCACATTTACCCAAATAACTGACTCGACCACAATAAATCATGTTCAGTCAAGTAGACAAGCAGATAATCTGGGTTGACTGTTGCCACTGTGAGGGGCACCGAGGTTCACCCTGGCCAGATGGCACTGTGCGAAAGAGACTTGCTTCAAAAGGAAAAAAAAAACAGGAGGTAGATGTAGGTCTTTCTATTTGTTCTATTTACAGTATGTTGTGGGCATCATAAATGTCACATCACAGAGCAAAACATAATGTACACTAAGCCTACACAATATTGTTACACAGTAAATGTTGATACAACAAATAAAATATTGCCGTTATGGTTGTCCTTATATTGATGATGATGTAATGTCATCTGACATGACCCATGACACAAAACCATGTGTGCATCCGAGTTAAATGAATGATAAACTGCTGAGTGTCAGTTGAGCATCCTCTGCCTTATGATTGTGGGTGTGAAGGTAATCATACAAAACGATGATGGATGGGTCCGGCCATAAAATATAAGGATGTGCTGCAACCGGTGTGTGTGTGTGTGTGTGTGTGTGTGTGTGTGTGTGTTTGTGTGTGTGTGTGTGTGTGTGTGTGTGTGTGTGTGTGTGTGTGTGTGTGTGTGTGTGTGTGTGTGTGTGGCACCTGAGGCAGTGTTGATGGTCCTGACAGCCTCCTTTGTACTGATTCTGTTGTTAGGGGGATAATCAGGAACGTTGTCATGGCGCCTGTCTGACATCCGGGGACTCGTCTTAGCTGGAATATGACTGAAATGGAATGGAATACATTATTGAAAAGTATTCATCTTGGCCAATTCAGAAAGCCAATTTTCAGGGCCCAGAAACCCCTTTCCCATGCAGACCAAAGTCAAAACAAAACAAAATGTTTGTCTTTCAAATGACGTGATCATGAGAAAAATTATTCATTCACTTTCAACCACTATTTCAGCTCACTTTGGGCAAAGGTATACCCATGACTGCCTGCCTGTCAATCACAAGGCACATACAGTATGCAAGGACATTCACATAAGCATCAACAACTAACATGCATGTTTCTGGAATGAGTGAGGCGCTAAACACACACACACACACACACACACACACACACACACACACACACACACACACACACACACACGCACGCTCAACAAGAAAGACCTGAGCTGAGATTCAAAACCCAGAATGTTTCAAATACGAGGCAGACATGATAACAAACGCTCAACTCTTATGCCAGAAAGACGATATTCAGCACTCACTGTCAGTGCGTATAAGAATCAGTATTGTGTTTAGTGAAGAAAACATGCTGTACATTAGAGGTGGCAGGAAAGTTTCAGGGCTGGAGTCACAAGATACTTTTCAAATCCACTACAAGTTTTTCCCTTTCAGGTACCGGTAATCGTTTTGGCGTCTTACACACTTTCACAGCCTTCTCTGCCACATTCTAATGCGCTGCTGGATAGATTGTCCTAGGAGACTCCACACTTCTGTCATCATGGGTGAAACACGTCCCCTTGATGACCCGCTTGAGCTTGGAAAAAAATATATATATATTACACAGAGCCATGTGAGGAGAGTAGGGAGGTTTCTCCAGCATAGCGGTTAGATGCTCAGTCATATGTTGTCATGGTGAAGCAGCTATGAGTTGCCCTGCCACAACTTCTTTTCGTGCACTGAGCAATGTAGGATCTCTGTTAACACGCTACTTGATTGTCTGGCCCACAACAATAGGAAAAACTTGTCGGCTAGATTTGAAATATATTTTTTGTGACAAACAGTCCTGGAAATTTTCTGACACACCTCATATACAAGTTATTATTATTGTTTAAAACATAACTTTTGAACAACATGCACTGACATATACTGTACATATATTTGTGAAATCACACCATGGACTCACCCCGACTGGCTGTGTTGTTCATCAATGGCATCCACAGCACTCTCCACAGAATTCAAGAGAGACTGGATTTGATTGGCTGATTCTTTCAGGAGGAAACGGGTCACAAACTGCTCCACATTTGTTCCTCTCTCATAGACCTGTTCAGAGAATAGTATAGTTATTTAGGAAAAGTGAGAATTCATTCATTCAAGGCAATATGGCTTCATTCCCAGATCACTTTTGTGGTCTATCGAGAGCATCTTGTGTTAACCAGGGGCAGAGCTACGTGGTGGCCAATGGTGGATGCGGCCTGTCACCCCAATGTCAAGGGGAATATTTTGATAAAGGTGATTCTGTGGTGCAGATAATTAGTCAGGCCTTACTGCTGTTTCCCCAGGGTCACGTTCCGTTACACTGACAAACTGAAATGTTCTGCCACCACACATTTAGATTGATAGTCCAGCCAAATAAGTACTTATACTGATACTATTGAGCTGCACACAATATGCGAGAAGAGATTGATAAATATCGATGCATTCGGAAATGGAATTACTTTACCAAAGACACCTTTTGAAATGAATTGTATCTGCCTTATTCCTGAAGTCTCTCATGGAGAAACGAATATGTGAGTGACTTCCGATAAGAGACTTCTGGTTCGAATTTTGCTATTTGTTTCTACGGGTTTCATTTCACGGAGCGATTTATTTTAATTTTTGTTTCCCCACCCCCCTTTCAAAACAATCATAAACTCCCATTGCAGCGAAACATAGATTGTATGGTTTAGGAAATTGTTTTAACAAGCAGAAAAAGTTGAATCTGTGTCTACAAGAGCCATGTTTTGAACTGGCTGCCAGACGAGGATGAGAGAATGTTGGTGAGATAAACACTAGTTTCCAGCGCCTTCCCAGGGTTGAGGATAACAGGAAAAAAATAGACGAAGAGTACTCGTTTGAAAACACCACCACCGAATCCTTCTACCTGTGCAGAATGCGGAAAAAGAGCATGGTGCCACAACATGAACTTTGTGCTGTGCTCCCTAATTGCACTGTGACAGGTCACCGGCCAAGTGCCACAGCAACATCAGGTGCCCAACTCGGGAACGACCTCCAAGTGGTGTTGGGCGTGGCTTCGGGCTACGAACAGTTCCCAGTCATCAGCCGACAACTGCGTCTGCAGGTACCTGGGTCGCTGCAGCTTTAGGAGCAGCTTTGGGACCCAGTTGGACGCTGCTCAACAGCAACAGCAGCAACATCAGGTATTGTTTTTTTTGTGTGTGGGAGCCACCACGCTTTAGTACAGTATTTGATTAGCTGATGTTTTTTTAATTAACCACCCCTTGAAATGTAGTCATTGGTTGTTTTGGGGATATCTGCAATCATTGAGAGTTTGGGATTTAATGTAAGAACAACAAAAAAAGAGAAAGGTTTTACAGTTCAAAACAAATTTCTGACGGCAATCAAAACTCTGATGTGGCCTGGGATTAAAATTTGTTACTTATTATACTTAGATGTCAAGGCTTTAAATGAACTGGATAAAAAAAAATTAAAAAATAATTTGACACCCATGTTAAAAAGCCTGTTGGAACCACTCATGTAAATGTCATAATTGACTGCATTTGCACTCCAGAGGGCAGAGTCAACCAGTCATGTCAGCTTTACTGTCAGAAGTCACAGTTCAATGATTCAGGGAGACAATTAAAGTTCTAGTGCAGTCAGCCATTCTCTGCTGCTCTCTAATCAAAAGACAAACACTCCCAGGTGATGCACGTTCACGTAGGCTGCATTGACTTCTCTTATCTCAGTTGATGGCTTTCATAAAAAGGTACACACAGAGGTCCACCCATCATTAAAAATCCACTCAAACAAAGACACCTACAAACACGATCGTGCAAAAGCCCTGTCGCTTCATGTAACGGTGTTCTCTGCAGTGTTTGCCAACCTTTATTGAGCTAAGGCACACATCCATCCATCCATCCATCCATCCATCCATCCATCCATCCATCCATCCATTTTCTTCTGCTTATCTGGGTTTGAGTTGCGTTGGCAGCAGCTTTAGCGGGGAAATCCAGACATCCTTCTCTTCAGTCACTTTGCCCAACTCTTGCGTGGAGGTTCCCAAATTTTTCACAGGCCAGTGGAGTGACATAGTCTCTCCAGCGAGTCCTGGGTTATTCCAGTGGCCTCCCTTGGTGGGATGGTCCTGGAACACCACACCAGCGAGGCGTCCAAGAGCCTCACCTCATGTGTCTCCTCTCAATGCAAAGGAGCAGCAGCTCTACTCGGAACCTTTCCTGCATGATGGAGCTTCTCACCCTATTTCTAAGGGACAGCCCATAAACCCTGCGAAGGAAACTCATTTAGGCCACTTGTATCCACAATCATGTTCTTTCAGTCACGACCCACAACTCATCACCATAGCTGAGGGCAGGATCGTAGATCGAACAGTAAATCAAGAGCTTCGTTTTTCAGCTCAGCTTTTCAGCTCCATTCTTGCTTCACTTGTGAACAAGACCCCAAGATATTAGAATTGCCTCCATTCGAGGCAGGATCTGGTCCTCGAGTGGAAGGGAGCACTCCACCCTTTTCAGACTGAGGACCATGGTCTCAGATTTGGAGGTGCTGATTCTTAACCAAACCGCTTCACATTCTGTGAACCGCTCCAATGATCCAATGAGACTTCAAGATCACGGCTTGATGAAGCCAAAAGAACTGTAGTGGGCTGTAATACCCTAGAAAACCCACACAAGTACTTGAAGAACATACAAACTCCACAGAGGGCCAGAGCTGAGTCAAGACTATAACCTCTTGGCTGTGAGACATGGCAACCACTACCTCAATTCAAGTTTATTTATAGAGCACTTCAATAAACAGCCACCGATAACACAAAACTGGGAAAATTAAGGAGTGCTGAAAAAAAAAAAAAAAAAAAAAAAACAGGTTCAGAGCATTTCTCTGGTGAACGGACATCTTAATTGGAAACAAGTGGTTCTCATGACTGGTTATGAAAGGAGCATCCCCGAAAGGCTCAGTTTTTCAGCAGCAAAAATGGGGGAATGTTCACCACTTTGTGAATAAATGTGTGGGTAAACAGTCCCAACACCTAAAGAACAATGTTTCTCAATGCACAATTGCCAGGAATAAATGGATTTTATGAGCCATGGTCCCCAAAAAATTCAGAGAATCTGGAAACATTTCTGCACAAAGCAGCAAGGCCAAAGCACCCCAAAAAATTGAATCCTGTGACCTTCAATCCCTCGGGTAGCACTTAAGCACAGCTTCATTGTATAAAGAATATTGTCATGTGGGCTCAGGAACACTTCTGGAAATGATTGGCACTTAAATCTGTTCGTCGCTATTTAGACAAATGCAAGTGAAAACTCTAGCATGCAAAGAGAAAACCATCTATAAACAATACTGGTGGCTTCTCTGGGGCCAACCTCATCTGAGATGGACTGATGGTAAGTGTAAAAGTCGGCTGTGATCTGACGAGTCCACATTTCAAATTGTTTTGGGAAATCATAAACTTTGTGTCCTCTTTGCTAAAAATGAATGGTAATATCCAGATTGCTATGAGTGCAAAGTTCAAAAGGAAGCATCTGAGATGCTATGGGGGTCTGTTAGTGCCCATGGCATGGGCAACTTGCCCATTGTGAAAGCAACATTCACACTGAAAGGTACCGTACAGGTTTCGAAGCAACATATGCTGACAAAAATATAATACCTGTACAATGATTCAGAGGGTTTGAGGCATGCTGTTCACATTTAAGACGACATGTCTTTCTGTCACCAAATTTTCACTCCGCCAGGTGCATCTCAAAGACACTCCTCCAGGGCCAGCCTGCCCATCTGCCAAATAGGCAAATACCCGCAGCGACCCTTTTGCACTGATACCAATATCGGCATTCAAGCCAAGGCACAGATGCGCTGTCTCTGACATTATAGCATGATTCCCCTATTTGCTGAATTAAAAAAAATATTTTCAATGTACACCCCAAATTAGCATTGGTATAACTGCATTGATGTAACACCTTGATACTGCTTCTTCTCATATTGAATTTAGCACACATCTCTCACGCTCTCCCTCACGGCCAAGTGGGCCCATAGGCCCCGCTATAAAACCTGAGATAGAAACACTGTGATCTATAATTCACACGGATCATTGACCCAAGAGAATGTATACTTGGCCCCTGAACATAGCCCCGGGTAAATTAGCTACTGTGCACACTATTATTGGCATCTGTATGTGTGTGTGTGTGTGTGTGTGTGTGTGTGTGTGTGTGTGTGTGTGTGTGTGTGTGTGTGTCTTCTTGCACACGTTGTTGTATGAAGTTCAAAGTTTAAAGGTTGCATGACAGTCTACAGTAGTTATGTCTTGTGATTAGTGAAGGACCACGTCACGTCTCATCACATCTCAGAGCCTCAGTAGCTTCACTGAAAATATTCATTTGAAGTCTTGCATATCCAGCCTCAATATGGCCCTCACTGACAAACTTTCACATTGCTTAAGAAAAAGAACGTTAACAAGATGAAATCGGGTAAATTTAATCTGGTAGGAGAATTGACTGAGCCAGCAGGGGCACGGAAGTAGTGTGGGAACATCTTTGTGTGTGTGTGTGTGTGTGTGTGTGTGTGTGTGTGTGTGTGTGTGTGTGTGTGTGTGTGTGTGTGCGCGCGCGCGTGTGTGTGTATTATCCACCTACACATTTACTGACTTAATGGCATACACTACCACCTCTCCCTGAGCCCAAGCATACTCACACTCATACAGTTTATGCAATAGATAATCAAAGAGTTTTAAGGTAGAAATCATTTTGGACTCACTCATATGTTATCGGACAGATGCCAAAAAACGGGTCTGATCATTTGACCGGTACCTTATGAAACAACTGAATTAAGTAACTAAAATTTCTAAAGGTATTTAAAAATAAGTAAGTGAAATGAAATAAACACAATTCTTACTTGGGTTTCTTTGAAAAATAGATGATGGGGAAAATGCACCACTGCCATGAGGCGGATGTGCTAACCGGTTGATCACCGTGCCGTCGACTCCAATGTAGTCTACATAAAAAAGTTGCTTTAAAAAAAAAAAAAAAACACACTCATGCTCCAAAGAGAGCTTCAAAGCAATGGATAATTGTCATGCTTTAACCCTGCTGCAA